ATTGCACTTGTAGCATAACAGTTTTTAATCCAGCAGTGAGGAAAGATTAAATCACAACCGCTGAGTTGATTATTATTCAATTGAATATTTTAATTATTATTATATGAAATTTGCGCAACCCAAAAATGTTTTTTAGACTCGTCACGGATCACTGTGACAAAAAAGTGACATTCCGACCAGACAGAATTGGTGTCGATGCTAATGCCAATGCGAATATAGTCAAAACGTCACCGTGTTGTTATGCAGCTAGCATTTCATCTTTTAATTCTCTTAAAAAAAAAAAAAAAATCACTTCATTTATAAAATACATCATTGTTAAAAAAAAAAAAAAAGAATGAAATAATGTGCTAATTGCAAAATATATGTTCATGCAGATCAACTAGCATTCACGCTAATGCTACTGTGGATCAAATGAGAAGCTTTCAAAAAAATGTTTCTTAATATACCGTATGTATATATCACGCTAAATTGCACTGAACTGACTAACTTCTTGTTATGTTGTGGGTCAAATTTACCCATTTTAATGTCATAAATTAGGGAAGCCAACCCCAAATATTTTCTTGAATATGAAGCATATGTTCTATGCAGCCCTACGAGTCTTAAACATGGCATTCTGATTGACCTTGTATTGGTGGAATATGAGTTAGGTAACAAAATCCACCCGTTTTTGTTCATCTCAGGGGGGGCGGCCATTTTGGCACTTGTTGCCGACTGAAAAAGACATCACCGTGCCTCAGGGGCTCAGGTAATGACCAATCATGGCTCAGCTAGAGAAAGCCGGTGAGCCATGAGTGGTTGTTACCTGAGCAACTGCGACAGAAAGTGGCAAAATGGCCGCCCCTCTGAGATGGCTAAAAACATCTGGATTTTGCTGCCTCAGTCATATTCCACAAACTCAATAGGAATCCGAAAGGCGTTTTGGGACAAGTGAAAGCGCATCGAAGATTGTTGCCTTTCCCTTTAAAAGTTTTTTTTTTCGTTATGAGACTTTTCCCTGATTGGCTTCAAGCTATTCCACTGAATTTTCCGATCTAGCCTGTGTTTACAATGACTCTGCATTTTTTATTTTACTTGTGGCACGCCTCTTCAAAGTGTGTTTCTCTCAGGCTGCGTCCACATGAACACGAGACAAGTCTTTCTTGGCCTAAAACAATCGTTTCATTCGCGGTACATGGATGGCAATAATGTTAGCTAGCGCCACAAAGCAAGCTAATTGCTTAGACGTACGTATATTTTTAAGTTGAGGTTCAATGTGCAAAGCACAACTTATGTCTAAAAGAAACTCCTCAACTCACTTCAATCGGTGAGATTTTCAGTGAAGAAAAAAGGATTCGGACACCCCACTGCCCAATGCTTCCTTGAGACCAATTACGACTTTTGATTTAGCCAGGGTTTTGGCGCTACCTTGTGGCAACTTAGGCGTTTTACTGAAAGCATCCAAAAAAACAAACAAAATAAAAACGTTTTTAGTTCTATTTGTGGAAAAACGGCGGCATACATGTGGACACAGCCTCAACCTGCACAGCACGAGTAAGTCCAAACGATGTGTTGGATGAAGCTTTGTTTTATTTTTAGCAATAAAAAATAAAAAATAAAGAAGGAAAAAAAAAGGGTCTTGCCTCCCTTTGTTTCTACTGTGGTGCGTTTCGATTTGCGTGACGTGGGCACAGGGCTCGCAGCTGTCCTACAGCGGCCATGCTCCCCATAGGGCGCTCGTGTCACATGAGCACAAAGGACGAGCAGGACGAGCGCATGGCGTGTACTTGGATTGAAAGGAGGGGGGGGGGATGAAGGGGGGGGTCTTGTGGCAACTTAGGCGTTTTACTGAAAGCATACCAAAAAATAAAAAATAAAAACGTTTTTAGTTGTATTTGTGGAAAAACGGCGGCGTACATGTGGACACAGCCTCAACCTGCAGAGCACGAGTAAGTCCAAACGATGTGTTGGATGAAGCTTTGTTTTATTTTTAGCAATGAAAAAAAATAAATAAAGAAGGAAAAAAAAAGGGTCTTGCCTCCCTTTGTTTCTACTGTGGTGCGTTTCGATTTGCGTGACATGGGCACAGGGCTCGCAGCTGTCCTACAGCGGCCATGCTCCCCATAGGGCGCTCGTGTCACATGAGCACAAAGGACGAGCAGGACGAGCGCATGGCGTGTACTTGGATTGAAAGGAGGGGGGGGGGATGAAGGGGGGGGCACACTTTGTCAAGATCAAGGAGGTGAAGTCGGCCACACGCTCAGCTAGCAGGTAAGGACTCTTTGAATTGAAGCTGGATTTAATGATACAGCAATTAAATACTCCGCATAACCATAATGAAAACAACCTTAGGCTTTTTAGACAATGGCATATGAATATCTTTTGATAATGATAGTCTTTTGCGATACAATTTACATAAATTTGATGTAAAACAATATGATGTATTTGATGTAAAAAATTTGGACTTGGATGAAAAATGTTTTTTTTAATTTGCATCCATTGTTAATACTATTACATGTACTAACATTTTTCAGGATTGGATTTTAATTGAAATTATTTAATATAAATTGTCATTTTATTTCATACAAACTAATACAAACTATTAATCAATATATTTGTTCAGGAAATCAAAATAAATATAGATAATAAAAATTATTAAATATAAATTATGTCATTTTATTTACAAACTAATTTATTTATATACAAACTAATACAAACTATTAATCAATGTATTTGTTCAGGAAATCAAAATAAATATAGATAATAGACTTAATTTTGTGAGGATTTTTGGGTTGCATTTTTATCCTTAAGATGAACTGAAATTTTGAAATATATATATCTACAATACATAACATAATGTCAGTAAAATTGTTATTTTATTATATTATACAATATTCAGGGATGTTTGACACCACTTTTTTTTCATAACAATACCAGTACAGGTACTTACAAGTCCTGATCCCTTTTGGATTTTTTATTTTTATTTAAGACAATGAGAAAAAAAATTGTGAACATAAAGCATTTTTTGCCCAATGTATCAGTGGTTGTTACAGTATCGACAGCATCCACAAGTACCCAAACCTTAAAATCAGACCGGTGTCGTTGCTAGCCCAACCCTGATGATATTCAAGGCAATCTCATATAAAAATACGATTATTTAAATGTTTTTTTTAAACTACAAAAATAATAATTTCGAATATTTTCTGGCTTTTTTTTAATTTACATTTTTATAGAAACATAACGAAACATTATTTTTGGATTGTTTTTCAGATTAAAAAAAAAATATATATATATATTGATACGTGTTTTTTGTTGGATGGTAGAAATAAGGCCAAGTTAAACTTATGGGTAAATTGGGTTGGGGGAGCAAAGGCAGCAAAAAAAAAAACAAACAAACAAAAAAAAACCTCAAATAAATATAATATTTCAAATGATATGTGATATGATAGCAAATAGATCTTGCATCTCCCCAGGGCCAGGGTGATGTTGCATGGTCATTGTGTGCGCTCTAAAAGTGGACCGTCTCCTTTTAAACCGTGTGAATGTGTCACTATGCTGTTTATTAATCAGAAATATTTCTCTTTGTTTAAAAAAAAAGATTTATTTGTAAGAGCCTGCCTCAAGAACAACATGTCTGACACAGAAGAGGTCATGGATGAAGAGACTCAGTATGTGGCCACTGTTATATGATACAGCATATGATGTATTTCGAATGTCTTTGTAGTAAATAGAGCTAATTTGTATTTCATTTTTTTTCTATGTTTCGTGTGAAGGGAGGAAGAAGGTAAGAGCGTTCCCCTTCTTCTACAGTGTATGACTGTATCCATCTTTCTAAATATTCATTTAATTGGAACCCGATTTAACTGATCTTAAGTTTTTTTCTCGTTTTATTTATAAGAACTTTCATTTAAAAAAAGTATTCTAATACTTTTAAAATTTGTCTTTTAAATTTTTCATTTTTATTTACAGTATCACTATTCAGCACTAAAGGAATCTAGTTTTGGAACCTTTATTTTTTTTAAAAAAACAATTTACATTTTTTTTTCTTTTTACATATTTTTATTCTGCTATAATCCAATGATGGAATAATAAACTCTGCATGAGTCATAATGTCTGTTTTCTCTCTCTCTCTCTTTTTTTTAAGATGACTCAAAGCCAAAACCAAAGTAAGTTGTTTTCACTTGATTAACACGACATGTTTCTTGTTTTCTCTGCTAGTTATCAACCCTTTTTTTGCTCAATTGCAGATTCATGTCAAACATTACTGCCCCAAAGATCCCGGATGGCGAGAAAGTGGATTTTGATGTGAGTTTGATCCCATGAAATGCATGTTAAAAAAAAAAAAAAAAAAAAAAAAAAAAAAAGACGTACATTACTTGTGAGTGCAGGACATCCACAGGAAGCGTCAAGAGAAAGATCTGTCCGAGCTGCAGTCACTCATCGAGGCTCACTTCATCCAGAGGAAGAAGGAGGAAGAGGAGCTCGTCGCCCTCGTCAACAGAATTGTGAGTCGAGACCCTCAAATCTGCAGCAAATTTGAAGAAATTTCCCAACGTCACTCAAAATACACAAAATAAATTGAGTATTGACACAAAAAATGGAGGAAACCTGAAGTTGAGTTGCTCCATTTGCAGACTGGCTCTTGTGCTGACCCCCACGTCACTCACCACACCAGCCCCCACCTTTTAAAGCCATACACACTCAAACTGACAGACATGATGGTCAAACGAATACCTGCACCGCATGCACATCAGTTGGCCCCTGCATACGCGCAGTTTGCAATGCACTGGGGCAGTTCCAATTGTGCCCCACGAAGTCTCGAAGTCTGCCAAGCAGCAAGGGTCCGCACTGGGAAAATTCTGTGCTGCATGCATACACAAAGATTCGAATACATTTCATTCAAATCATTTTTGTGACGATCGTACTACTTTTGTCCAAGTGAAAGCTTCAAATTCGTTTCCTTAAAGGAAAAGCGTCGTGCCGAGAGAGCAAAAAAAAAAAAAGACGTACATTACTTGTGAGTGCAGGACATCCACAGGAAGCGTCAAGAGAAAGATCTGTCCGAGCTGCAGTCACTCATCGAGGCTCACTTCATCCAGAGGAAGAAGGAGGAAGAGGAGCTCGTCGCCCTCGTCAACAGAATTGTGAGTCGAGACCCTCAAATCTGCAGCAAATTTGAAGAAATTTCCCAACGTCACTCAAAATACACAAAATAAATTGAGTATTGACACAAAAAATGGAGGAAACCTGAAGTTGAGTTGCTCCATTTGCAGACTGGCTCTTGTGCTGACCCCCACGTCACTCACCACACCAGCCCCCACCTTTTAAAGCCATACACACTCAAACTGACAGACATGATGGTCAAACGAATACCTGCACCGCATGCACATCAGTTGGCCCCTGCATACGCGCAGTTTGCAATGCACTGGGGCAGTTCCAATTGTGCCCCACGAAGTCTCGAAGTCTGCCAAGCAGCAAGGGTCCGCACTGGGAAAATTCTGTGCTGCATGCATACACAAAGATTCGAATACATTTCATTCAAATCATTTTTGTGACGATCGTGCTACTTTTGTCCAAGTGAAAGCTTCAAATTCGTTTCCTTAAAGGAAAAGCGTCGTGCCGAGAGAGCGGAGCAGCAAAGGATCCGAGCCGAGATGGAGAAAGAGAGGCAGGCCAGGCTTGCCGTAAGTTCTCACAAGTTAAGAAAATATGCGATGACCTGATCAGTGACACGTGCGCGTTTGTGTGTGTGTGTGTGTGTGTTACATCCAGGAGGAGAAGGAGCGAAGAGAGCAGGAGGAGCAGCGCAAGAAGCATGACGAAGACGCCAAGAAGAAGAAGGTCCTCTCCAGCATGACTCAGCAGTACGGCGCCGGACAGAAGGTCACACAGCTTCTTACTTTGACATATCTGGTCACGCAAAGGCGGCTTCTTTACAAAACAAAATGATTAGGACCTCATGCAAAAATTTCAGCTTCTGTTGCTGAAAATGCCACCATCTAAAACATATTTTGCATCAGGTAGCGGATATTATTCTTTCACTGCTCTCTCCAATTTATTTAGTTTTTTGGGGTGATTTCATTAGAGCAATCGGATTAGTTTTATTTTAAATGTTGAGCAAATTGTTTTGGGAGTTTATCTTACAAATTGTACTTCACATGGGAAAATTAAAGACAAACTGATGATAAAAAAATATATTTCAAAAGTCAACTTCAAATACATTACTGAATTAGCAATTTTTTTTTTTTTTTTAGATTCCTCACCAACCCAAGTAGGTCAAAATATTAGGCACAGCTCTCCATATGCTGCCGTAGCGTAACTCTGTCATAAACTGCAACCCCCCCAAAAACAAAAAACAGAACAGAGTCAATAATCTGCGCTGCAGCTCTTGCATTCGAAGTCAATCGGGACAGGCTTTGTGCAGCATGGATTCAAGTGCATTTACTGAATCTTGCACTTGTAAATACTCAAATTATGCCCAAACAGAGTGAAAAGAAAGGCAAAAAGCAGACAGAGAGAGAGAAGAAGAAGAAGATTCTGGCTGAGCGCAGGAAGCCGCTCAACATCGACCACTTGAGTGACGACAAGCTCAAGTAGGACAAACGAGGGTCTCCGCAGCACGGCAAATTGATTCATATTGAGTATGGGATGAAATCTGCAATTGTGTGCGTGCATGCGTGTGTGCAGGGAGAAGGCTAACGAGCTGTGGCAGTGGCTGATGCAACTGGAGACGGAGAAGTACGACCTCAACGACAAGTTCAAAAGGCAGAAGTGTGACGTGAGTCTCTCCATACATTTCAGCATGACAGCAATTCTTGCTTAATTCTATGATAAAAACAGTAAAGAACGGGTTGGAGGAAATATATTTCCAACTCCATGTTTATTTGAACCTGCTGTATATATGATTTGGTTTGTTTTTATGTAATGCAAAAAATGTTCAGCACTGTTTTCCATTTCAACACATTTTCCTTTCCATGTTTTGTTCCTGAAAATCAGAGAAACTGTAAGAGTGAGGAATATATTCAATCAACTTAAAAATTCATTTTTCAAACATTCATTTAAAAAAAAAAGAGAATTTTAGTGAGGGATGTCCTGATTGCAGTTTTTGTACCGGAGTCATTATCAAGAAAAAAAAAAAAGATACTTTGGTATATGCCAATAAGCCTAGTGATGCATTGGTTCAAAACAAGTAAAACACTAGTGTATCAAATAATCGCCCCCCCCCAAAAAGTAATCCTTTCAACTGCATAAAATTAGGTTGTCAAAAAAAAAATACTATACTAATTTTATTTTTCAAGGGAAAACTAAATTAAGCATCCATCCATTATCCGAACTGCTTTATCCTCATGAGGGTCACGGGTGTGCTGGAGCCTATGCCAGCTGTCTTTCTTTTTTTGTATTATTATTATTATTGACTATTAAATGGATTCCTTGTTAATTGCGCTTTACGCTACTTGCAGATCAACCTCCTCCTTGTCCGAGTGCAGGATCACCAGAGGTAAAGTCATATGAAATCGTGGTGAGTTGAATTGTCTGATTTCACGCTGCTGTTTCTTCTTCTGTGGTTGTTTTTAGCACTAAGGGCCGTGGCAAGGGCAAAATGGGAGCCCGGCTGAGGTAAAGAGGGAACATCCTCATCCCCAACCTGGGACACACCAAAACAGGACATCGGTGTATCGCCAATCATATTTCATATCAATAAACAAGCATCTACTTCCATGAGAGTCACACAGGGTGTTTTGTTTGCGTGCCAGCAATGTTGTATGGTTAACCACCGGGCGGCCATACAGCAGTTCTTACTGTACTGTGCTGTGCGACTGATTTGGTGCTCTTTAGTGTTACCGCATGTGTGTGTGGGTCCTACATGACAAATCAATAAAACACACAGTGGAATTTGGTCGCTGTCAGTTTTTTGGGGCGCTTGTTGAAAATACCGCGGCCCGTGTTGGTTGGTGCTCTACTGTATTGTATGGTGAACCCATGCCAGAAGATGGCGGCAAAGCACCTAAAACGGAGATGATCACAAAGCATCAACACCATGCTTCTGACATGTACACAAACCATGAACCCATGTTACACAAGCTACTGTATTCAGTCGTTACATTACTCAACACAAACAGATCCTTTTTGTGTGAGGCTCATCAAGCGAGTACCCGGCTAAAAACAAGCAAGCATGAACTTACGTGACATCAGACAGGGGCAAACAAATACATGCATGAGAGCTTCACACAAACAATCTAAAATCATTTAACTCACCTTATTTACTAAAAAATATTACGGCATCTTAGCAAATTGTAACAGCAGTTAAGTCAACACTGGCTACTCGAAGCAGCATCGCTGGAGAAGCAACCCCGCCCCCCCAATAAAAAAACCCTCACACTGTAGTTTCAGTTTCACTTTTTGGGCAGGAAAAACAGCGATTTGATGAGTTTCAGTGAATAATGGATGACAACTTAAAATATACAAATGTAAGAAAAATTCAAAAAAAGATTTTCAAAAACATAAATTCAGGATTGCCAGACCTCAAATACACAGTTTCATTCAATTCAATTAGAGGTGGGGTAAGGGATGGAAGTTACGATGCGATACGTGACGACAACAACAACTGTTTTTGTTTGTCATGTCTGTCTTTAATTATATTCAACACAAAATAATGGATAATAACATCATCCCTATCGATACACTTTGGTTCATAAGAAAAATAGATTATTTCTAGTCACGGGGGGATGTTTGAGGGTTGAGTGATGGAAACGGGATAGTAGGACGTCTTCATCCAAACTGTACAGTCGTAACTATGATTTCTCCGGACACATAATCACCCTTGTATTGTGAGGAGTGCGGGTCTTACGTGGACCTTGTGTGCAAGGGCCGGTGGGCTGTGTGGACTGAGGAAGGGGAGGACCCGAACACATAATCACCCTTGTATTGTGAGGACTGCGGGTCTTACGTGGACCTTGTGTGCAGGGGCCGGTGGGCTGTGTGGACTGAGGAAGGGGAGGAGCCTGAAGGCGAGCGGCTTCTCTCACCATAAGTGCGGTTCTCTGATCTCCGCAATCACTTGGCTGGCTTTCTGCAGGGCCTGCATATAACACGGTCTGAGTCAGGGGCGTCAAACTCATTTTTAACGCGGGACACTTTGTCGTTCTGGCTTCCCACAGACGGCCATTATGTCGGTGAAACAAATACAGTCAGTTTCATTGCCTCATTGTATTGTTAAGTATACATATACAGTCACACCTCGGTTTTCGAGCATAATCCGTTCCAAAAGGCTGTTCGAAAACCGAATATTGTATTGTTAAGTATACATATACAGTCATACCTCGGTTTTCGACCATAATGCGTTCCAAAAGGCTGTTCGAAAACCGAAACCACGCTCTTTTAAAGAAAAAAAAAATCTTTATTGAACACGTCTGCTCACAATGGAACACTACACGAGGAAGCGTCACTTCCTCGCGAAAGGAAGGCGAGAGGAGTCAAGTTTGGTCGAGAACCGATTTTCGGTCGTAATCACGTAAGGAAGGTGAGAGGAGTCAAGTTTGGCCGAGAACCATTTTCGGTCGTAATCCGAGACATAAAAAACCCGAACTTTTTGGTCGAAAACCGATTTGGTCGAGAACATAGACGTTCGAAAACCGAGGTTTGACTGTATATGGATCGGTTCGAGTACCTTGAGCATGTCTGCCGCCTCATTGCGTCGCTGTGCCATGTCCTCCGATTCGGTCAGCAAGTCATCCAACAGTACCGATTTATACAACTGACCCACCAGCTCGCTCTGCAGGCAGTCTTTGACGTGGTTCACCAGGAAGTGCATCACCGCTTTAGGCACGCTGAGTAGGAGGAGGAGGAGGACGGAAGTAGTGAGACAGCGATGAAGACTGTCGCAAAGGATTCTGACTTTCCAAAGGAACCGAGATCATGCCATGGTCGCTCTTTCCGCACCTGTCCTGGATGTTTTTCCGCACGATAAGAAAATAGGACTTGATAAGCCTCTCTATGACCTCGCAGTCTCTCTGTTCCCGAGCAGACAACTTCCTGGACACTGGTACAGGCTGGGGGAAAAAAGAACAGTTACGATGAGTTAAAGGGGCACAGTTTATGAAAAATTGACTTTTTGCTGGTTTGTATTTAAAATATTTGGCTCTCTGAAATGACTGTTTGTTTCATACATCAATACCAGTTACAACACGTCAACAAAACTCCGTATTTCAGGAATCGAGATAATATCATGTAAATCATTCCCTTGCTCCCCTTTAAAGTCAGCCTTACCACATCGAGCAAATTAACAGCATGGCCCTTCTGCGGGCTCGCGGGGAGGGGATTCTGGGGCATTGCCCTGTCACCCCCAGCGCCCTCCTCCCCCCTTTTCAGCATCCCTCTCCAGTTCCCCGTCCCGCCGCTGTCCACCTGATCGCCAGAAGACGCGACCTGAGCCCCGCCCACTGCCGCCTGCTGGCCAGAAGAGAGATTAGCAAGGGAGACACTGTCACATGAGGTTGGAGGGAAAATAACTCTCTCGCTCTGATGAAATTAGGGACTTGAACTTTTTATTGTGGTCACTAAAATGGAGCCAACAGTTGTCAAGTGGCTAATGTAAAAATACGACGCTGTATATTATATTCATGTAAATGCGACTGTAGTTTCAGTGGTGTAAAACTGCACTGCATCATACTGACTCATAAGTTGGCACAGCTCTTGTCTTGGAGATTGTGATTTACAAATAAAACAGTACCTTGTCTCGTGGGACAGCAGATGGCAGGTCCCTCATTCTGTTGCGTCTTTGCTCCTGCGAAGAAAATTTAACAGCATGACTACAATTAAAAATCATTTGCAGTGAAGAACAGTCTGAAGAGAAGCACGGCAGAGGGTTTGGACCTCAATGTTGTGGTTCATGAGGCCACAGGCGTCAGCAAAGTCGGGATGTTTGGTGTTGATGTACGCCAGCTCAATCGCGACCAGGTTGTGAACCTCAAGACAAAAAGACATTTAATTATGAAGAGATGTTCATCATATCATGTCGCCATGAGGGCAGTTTTGCTACCATGTCATTGGTAATGGGTAGTCTCTTTCTCAAGAGGGAGGTGACCACTTATCCTCCAAGGACGTTTCCATTACATTGTGGTTCACACCTCAATGCCACCATTAAAAAAATACAAATAAATTGTTCCACAAATAATGATAATTATAAAGCAAATTGTAATGCACTAAACTCCGATTTTTTTTTTTTTAAATAAATGACGGGTCGGCAATCCTCCAAGGACGTTTCCATTACATTTTGGTTCACACCTCAACGCCACCATTAAAAAAAATATAAATAAATTGTTCCACAAATAATGATAATTATAAAGACATAAAATGTTAACTGTTTTGTTAAGCGCTTTGTTACAGCTGCCGCTGTTGTGAAAGCGCTATATAAATCAGCATGTATTGTATTGTATTGTATAAAATACTTGTGTACTTTCTCTCCAGCTTCTCAACTTTTTTTTTGAGGTGTGACATGTATTAAGAGTGGAAGCCACCGCTTGAGGATGCGTCAATTTCCCAAACTCATGTAGCTGAACAAGGTGACTAGATTAGAAACATTTCCCAGTAACAAAACAGACTTTTGTGTGTGCTGTTTTAATAATGTCAGACACAGTTTCAATAAAAATACTTTTCAGAAGACAATCCCTACCCAATTTCAATAACAATAAATATAGTTTAGATTATTTTAGTGATATCCTAATTTCTCAAGATGGTAAATGGGGGACTTTCATGAGTTTGTGCAAACTATAACTATTCAAATTATAAAACATGAAATATTTTCTATTAGAAACATTTCCCAGTAACAAAACTGACTTTTGTGTGTGCTGTTTTAACAATGTCAGACACAGTTTCAATAACAAAAATACTTTTCAGAAGACAATCCCTACCCAATTTCAATAACAATAAATATAGTTTAGATTATTTTAGTGATATCCTAATTTCTCAAGATGGTAAATGGGGGACTTTCATGAGTTTGTGCAAACTATAACTATTCAAATTATAAAACATGAAATATTTTCCTCTGCGTGTCGAGAATCTACTAAATACATAAATGTCCCTGATTTTAAGTTTTCCACAAGATTCTCCTGATACTGTAGTTGTAGCCTGTTGCCACCTGTGTGCTGTAGTTACTGCAGTACCCAATTTCAAGAACAATAAATATAGTTTAGATTATTTTAGTGAGATTCTAATTTCTCAAGATGGTAAATGGGGGACGTTCATGAATTTGTGCAAATTATAACTATTCAAATTATAAAACATGAAATATTTTCCTCTGCGTGTCGAGAATCTACTAAATACATAAATGTCCCTGATTTGAACTGAATTTAAGTTTTCCACAATATTCTACTGATACTGTAGTTACAGCCTGTTGCCACCTGTGTGCTGTAGTTACTGCAGTGTTGGATGATCCTCTGCATCTCCTCGTGAACCAGCTCCACGCAGCGCAGACTGGGCTCCTCCAGACGTTTCACTTGTCTCTTGACCAGTAACTCGAAGGAAACCTCAGGCACAAACAAGGCAGGCCGAGGTCCCTGGAAACAACAGGTTGTCACACCGTTCGGATGGTTGCGTCAGTTACAATTCCTGATCAGATGTTGCAGGGACCCACCGTTGCGTTACGGATCGCCGTCAGCACGTCGATCGTCGTCAGGCCGCCTAGGGGATCGACTGATTCCAACGTTCGACCGAAGGTCTCG